AGTCAGCCAGGAGCGACAGCGAGGCCCTCTCAGATTCCACAGCCCCCTCGGATGCAGAGGTGTCCCTGAGCTGCAGGGAGTCACCCTGCCTCACGCGGAGGGCCTCAGGCATGAAGAGGAAGAGTCACCAGCACCCAGGGAAGCCGTCCTTAGAGGACACACAGACCTGGAGTGGGTCAAGCTCGTCCGTGGCTGCAGAGGGGCTGGGTGCGCTTCCCTCAGAGAGCCACTCCACTGTCAGCAAGACGTCACCTGCCACCACGAGCAGGTCACCAGGGTCCACCCAGGAAAACAAGTCACTTTCTGAAAATCAGTCTCAGCTCCTCACGAGTCATCCTCTGCCTTCAGGCCAGACGGTGAAGAGCCAGCCGGAGCCCCTGGAGGGACGGCCGCCCTCGGTCCAGACTCCCATCAGGGAGAGCTGGCCAGGTGTCTGGCAGAAGGAGCGCCACCCTGCCACGGAGGCGGTGGCGCCGCTGCCCCCACAGACGCCCGCCCCCCCGGCAGAGGCTCTGCGGCCCACCCTGGAGGAGTCGTCCCTGAGTGAGCAGCCCATGGAGGTAGAGCTGGGGCCGGTGGAGAGGCAGCCCTCGCCCATGGAGTGGCTGCCAGAGCTGCCCCCAGAGGCAACCAGCAAGCGGGAGCCTACCTCCAGTGACAGGGGCCACGTCTTTTCATTTTCTAATAAACCAGGGTCCCCCTGACCCCAGGGTTGCTCTGGGCTCACTCCTTTCCTCACTCTGGGCTGCCCCCTTCTCCTGGCGCCCCCTGTGGCTCTCGCTGCCCTGTGGCTTCTCCCTCAGGTGGGCTGCCCTCTCCTGGGGACCTGGAGAGCAGGTCCTGGAAGGTCCCCACCCTGGGGCCGTCTGGCTTCAGCAGGGCTGTGGTGTGGGTCCCAGGCTGCTGCGGCCCAGGAGCAGGCTGGGCCAGGACCCCAGGCCCAGCCAGGGAGAGGCAGACCCCCAACCCTGGCCGTCCTCCCACCTCCCGGTTGGGGCTCCCGGCGGGGCTCCCGGCCTCCCCACCCCCTGCAGTCAGCCAGCACACACACCCAGGTGAGTGACTAGAAAATAATTTATTGAAGGAAAAAACCCAAACAAACCCAGCACGAGAATGGTTGACAATGAGGAGGGTTTTGGTTTTGGTTTTTTAACTTGTAAGCCTGTTGCTGAGGGTGGGGGTAGAGAGGGCTGCTTGTCCCTCTCGCACTCGGGGACAGGGGCCTTTGGATGATCTGAATAGGGTCTCCCCTGTAAGCAGCCCCTTCCAACCTGATTAAAAACTCTGGGGGCCTCCTTCCCCCCACAGCTGAGGTACCCCTCCAAAAACAGCTCTTGAGGGTCTGATGGGGTCCCCAGGAGGAGCCCAGTGCCCTGGGGCCCTGATTTTGGTCAAACCACTTGGGGCTGAGAAGGAGAATGGCCAGCAGCACCCACCCCCACCTCTCCAGGGCCCAGGCCCAGCCCTGCAGAGGAGGCCTTCTGTCCTGCAGGGAGCAGGACACCCCTGCCTGGGGCCTGTCCTAGGAAGTGGGTGGCCACCTCCTCCCTGCAGCCACGCCCAGGAGTACAGCCTGGCCCCCTTTCCCCAACTCCAGGGCCCTGGGTGGTGGCTCGGGGCCCTGGCCTCCTGGTAGTAGCCAAGTCACAGGCAGAAGGACATGGTCCCAGAGCCATCGTTCCTGGTGCTGGGACAGAGGGGCCTTCTGTCCTCCAGATCCCCAAGTGGGCTAGGGGATGGGCTCCCCACAGGGCCACATCGTCCCCGCTCCTGTCCAACCCAGGGCCAGGGAGGCTGAGTGTCTGGTGGAGTGGGGGTATCAGGCCAGGCGGATCTGGGGAGATGGGGAGCACCCAGCCCCCCACCCTGGGTGACGAGGCCGCACTTGATTGTCTTCTCCTGTGACAAGACATTGGGAAATCCAAGTAAAGTGAAACCAGCTGGGGGGGGGGGGGGCTGGGGGCAAGATGGGGCTGACACCCAGGGGCACCCAAGGCCTGCGGTGGGCAGGCAGCGCCCACCCAGCCAGGGCAGGCGGGCAGGCGGCACGAGGGCCAGCCCTGCTTGCTCTGGGACCACCTTCCCTCTCCCTGGGGCTCCTCAGAAGGGGAACAGAAACACAGAGCAGAGATGGCGGCATGGATACAAAGACGGACCAGACGTGACCATGACCCCGGCTTCGGCCCCCCACCCCCCACTCATTACATTATCGCCAAGAAAGAGTACATTAGCCATGCATCAAATCAAACTCCATTTTGTCTTTTTTTTCTTTTTTCTTCCTTTTTTTTTCTTAAATTACATTTGAACACAGAACACACAGAATAATAAATACTCTCATAAGACATGACTCCAAAAAACGAGAAACAGAACAAGCCAGAGATCAGAAAGGTACACCTTGCACACCCTCTCTCTTTCCCAAAGACTCATCTCCGTGAGCGTCTGTCAACCGCCGGTCCCTGCCTCACAGCCTTGCCCTCCCGCCCTCTGACCACCGGCTGCACCGCCCTGACATTCAATACGTCTCCCACAGAACGGGCCAAAGAAACGACATGCCATCGTCTGCAAAATTATAATTTAACGGTATAAAGCTTCAAGTCACGTTTTCCAAAAACTAGCTAAGGATTTTTTTTTTTATCACATAAACTATACATTAAATATTTTGAGGTATTTCAGAGAAAATTGTCAAAGGCTTGAAGGAATTGTGCTGGAGATTGGGTTCCCTGTGGGGAAAATGGTCTTTGGTATGGGATGATCAGGTGGGTATAGGAGACATTTGGGGTCCAGGCCCGGCAAAGGGGCTGGCTGAGTTCAGGCAGGGCACAAGAGCCGGTGTGGGCGTGGTGTGTGTGTGTGTGTCCGTCCATGGGGACTGGGGGTGCAGCGCAGTGGCCAGGGCTTGCGTAGCAGGCACCAGGCTCTGGGTCCTTCCCCACTGCTGAGAAAAAGGAGAGAGATCCAGGAGCCCCGGTGCTCTGAGGAGGCCTCACCTGACCTGACCACCCGAGTCAGAACCGCCTCAGGGCAAGGCCTCCCCTTCCACAGGGACACAGGAAGCCCCTGGCCCTGGCCCTGGGGTTGGAAGGCAGGAGCCACCAGTCCCTGTGTTCTCAGAAGGGCTGGCACTCGGGCAGGCCACTGCCTGGGAGGCACACGCTCACTTGGCATAACTTAAAAGTTTGCTGCTGATCTTAAGAGAAATGAAAAGGGTCTCGCCAGCCCTGGGCCTGTGGGACTCCGAGGAGCCCCAGGCGGCCAGGCCTGGGGAGGGAGCTCTAGACCTGCCCATCAGAAATTGGGGGATGAAAGGGGTAAAGGGGGCCCAGGTGTTAGTGGGGAGCCTGTGCTCCCCCAGAGTGGCATTCAGTGCCCAGGGACCACCGTGAGGCATAGGAGGCAGTGTGTGTGTGTCAGTGTGAGTTTGTGCATGTCTGTGTATGTCCTCATGCATGCGTCTGGGGCAGCGTCACTTGTGAGTGGGGATGGGGAGTTTTCACTTTGGGGATTCTGCCCCAACACCCAAAGGTTCTAGAAGCATCCTTCAGATGGGTTGCTGAGAAGCTGGGAGCACAGCGTGTCGATAAGGACAGAGGACACTCCACACACATCTTTGGTTCAAGAAAAAGGCACTCATCGACCTCGCTGTCCTCTCTCCCTCATTCTCTCGCTCTCTGGGGGCAGGGCAGCCCCTGGCTGCGGGGGACCCTAGCATCCAGCACAAGTCCTTGGGGGAATCTTTGGTATCAGGCGTGATTTTTCCAATCACAGATTGAAGGTTGAGTGAGGTAGCCTTTACCTAGGGGGGTTCATTGGAAATGTCTCTTGCGTTCTCCAGGGGAAATGGGGGGGGGCCCTCCCTGGGAGGCAGCCCACAGGTGGGGCCAGGGGACAGGTTGGCTTCTGGATCTGGAACCCCAGGGGGGGGTGGTTCCTGGGATCCAGCTGCTGGCCAGTCCTGGAGGTCACCCAGAGGAGACAAGATGAGCAGGGTGGGTGGGTGCTCATCTTCATTTCTCACCCTCCCCCCTGCATTTTTTTTTCTTTTCTTTTTTTTTTTTTTGGCAAAAAAATGGAGCAAGCAGATTCCAACTTCCTCAAAGTCGTCCTTCTCTCCTTGGGGAGAGCTGTGGCAAGCGCGCAGTTCACCTCAGGCTCCCGCAGGCTGAGTTCTGCACCCCGGGAGGCAGGGGTGGGGTGGGGTGGTGAATTCCAGGGCTCAGGAGCCAGCCCAGGCGCCAGCCCAGGCCCGGGCAGCCGGGTGCTCTGAGGGCCGGGGCTGGTGGACTCCAGCGTCGTCTCCTGGTTTCTGGGTTCTGCCCTTCCCTGGGGACCCCTCGTCAAGGTGCCTGGGGATAAAGTGAATAACCAAGGGGGCGGGGAGGGAGGCGTCTGGGAGTTACCCGCATGTTGGAGCTGGACCCCGGCGGTCTGGGTGGGGGTGGGAAGGGCGCTGGCCCGCAGGCCCCCTCCCCGGGCTTTAAGGCAGGCGATTCTTGGCACAAGGAGTCCTGGCCGCTGGGAGGGCAGCTCGGTTCTCGGCGGTAGGGCGCCGTCCTGCCAGCGGAGGGGGTCGGCGTGGGGTGGGGGGGGCTCTGCAAGGACCCAGCTTGACGGGGGTTTTGGCGACTTCCAGGGGGCCGAGTTCTTGGGGAGGGGACAGGAGGCGCTGGGGAGGAAGGAGGCAGGCCTCTGCCTTCCTCCGTGGGTCGGGGGTCTGGCGAAAGGGTTAGTTATTCTTAAAATTCCTTTTTTTAAATACCCGGTTTATATTTCTCGTCTGTGCTTCTTGACCCGCTTTAGGGAACGACACCGTGAGCCTGGCTTTCCTCGAGGCCCCTGGCGTCCTGGGTGAGGGGCTGGGGAGCTCCTTTCCGCCGTCCCCTCGGGGTGGGGGGCTTCCTCGGCGGGGGGGGGGGGGGGGCCTTGTGCGCTCGGGCTGGGGTGTGCGGTCCCTCCCGGGCGGGGCGCGCGGCACCCCTGCAGCGCCCGGGCGGGAGGGAGCCTCAGGCCTTGGAGAAGGTGGCGGCGGCCCCCGCAGGGCCCCCGGGGGCGGCGCCCGGCTCCTCCGCCCAGCGGTTCATGCAGCGGCGCCGCGCGTTCATGAAGAAGTTGCTGACGGTGTTGAGCTCCAGGCCGAGCTGCTGCGAGATGGTGACCTGCATCTCCTTCGACGGCCGCTTGTTCTCCTTGAAGATGGCGATCAGCGTGCGCCGCTGCAGGTCGGTGAACACCAGGCGCTGCTTCTTGGGCTGCAGCGCGCGCTCCTTCTGCTGCTCCTGCTCCTTGCGCTTGCAGGCTGCGGGGAGCAGGGCCGCGGACAGCGCCACCGCGCGGCGGCCGCGGGTCCGGGCCGGAGGGCAGAGCCGGGAGGGTCGGGACCCGGAAGGGAGATGGGGTGGGAGGACAGAGCAGGGAGGAAGGGGACCCAGGACAGATGCAGGGGATGCAGAGCAGGGAGCGGGGGACGGCAGGGAAGCATGACCAGGATGAAGGACCACAAGGGGCAGCGGGAGGGACAGCGCAGAAAAGGAAGGCGAGGACAGAGGGTCACGGGGCAGGAGGCAGGTGGGGAGACAAAGAGTCACAGAGTGAGCACTCTCCACAGCCAGCTCCCATCCCCCTCCCTGGGCCCATTCCGGCCCCTCCCCAGCCTCTGGCCCCCAACCCCCTCATCCTCCCACTCCAGCAAAGATTCCCGTCCCTAACCCCCAAAGGCTGGCTTTTCCCCTCCTCTCTGCAGCCCCAACCTGGGGGATGTCGGGGAACCCACAGAAACTACACCGTGAATCATTCAATCAATGCAGACCTGGGTGGAAAAGGTGGTTAATCAGCCAGCCCTGGGCGCACCACAAACCCCACCACCCAGCGTCTGTGAAAGGCAACCAACATCCTGAGCTCCTCCCTGTGGGGCCTGATGGCCCTGGGGACCCTGTGCCAGGCAGACGTTGGCACCCACAGCCCAAAGCAGATATCCAAGCGCTCCCACAGGACCTCCTTAGAGTGGCCTACTCCAGCGCCCTCTGCAGCTGAGAGGGTCTAAACAGAGGGCCTGGAGAGGGGAGTGGGGGTTCAGGAGCACCCCTCCCTCTCCCAAGGGGCAGGCCTCTCTTTCTCTCTGCAGGGAGAAGGCCCCCAGCAGCCCCCACCACCCACAGAGGCTGGGGAAGGGGAATAGCATGGAGCTGAGCCTCACTCCCCAGCCTCAGCGGCAAGCCCCCCCCCCCAGGACCCACTGAAAGGACAGGTGGGCAGGCATCACCCACCAGGACTGGCTCCCCACAACAGGGGCTGGGGTGGCTGTGGCCTCAGCTTCAACTTGATCACAATCGCCTTGTGGAGTTTGTCCCATCCCAAGTGCCTCCTCCAGCCGCTCCCAGTCACTGCCCTCCAGGTGCCGAGAGAGAGGCAGGCTGTATTGTGGGTCCCTGCTGCCAGCCCCTCCTCTGTGCCAGCCCCAAGGCACACTGGGAGCACACAGCAAGGCTTTGGGTTTCAGAACACTTCAGACCAGATGTCCACCCATGTCCTCAGAAATAAACGGGTAAACTGGGTGTGGTGGCACACGCCGGTGATCCCAGCAGCAAAGTTGGCAGGAGGATCACGAGTTCAAAGCCAGCCTCAGCAACTTAGAGAGGCCCTAAGCAACTTAGTGAGGCCCTGTCTCAAAATAAAAAAGGCCCGGGGATGTGGCTCAGTGGCTAAGCACCCCTGGGTTCAATCTCTGGTACCAAATAAGTAAGTTAAATAAATATTCCCTGCACTGTGACTCATTTCTTGGGGACAGGGTTTTGCCCATTTAGAGTGTGAAATGACAACATCTCACTCTCCATCTCCCTCTGAGGAAGATGCTCAAAGTCTCTAATTGGCTGCTTCATATTTTATGGTCAAGCAAGATGGACACAGTTTATTGGATGTTTTAGAAAATCATCTAATGGGAGGATGGAGAGAGTATCAAGAGAAATGGTTAATTTCAGAAAAAAAATCAACAAAACAGGAAAAGCTATCAATATTGTCAGGGGGTGAGAGAAATGTATTCATGAAACAAGAATGTGGTGCTGCTAAAGAAAAAGGACAATTAGAGAAAAGGAAATGAAAAAGGGGGCCGGGCTATAGCTCAGAGGCAGAGAGCTTCGCGGCATGCGCAAGTCCTCCCGCTCCATCCCCAGCACGGCAGGAGTGAATGATCTCATGTGAAGATCGGATGCTAAAGTCAAGCAAATGTCCCAGAAAACAGAATAGAGCAGATGCGGCGACGGAGGAGACAATTACCACGAAGTTGGAGGACGGAGTCACGAGCAGGTTTGTCACTGGATCAAGAGGGATCCAACACCAGAGGAAGAGATGATCAAATAGCGTAGAATTAATTCCAGATTGAAGGCCAAGAGGCTCTCAGTTATGCACATCAATGAATGAGAAAAGGCGCTGGCCAAGACTCATCCTCGTGAAATTTCAGAGCCCTGGGAATAAAGGGGAGACCTGAAAGCTTCCGGAAAGGAAGCCAGATGTCACATCAAAGCTGGAGAATCAGAGTGGCCTTGGGCTTCTCAGAAACTAGGAGAGCGTGGGGCAAGGCTTCCAAAATTATTTTTTAAAACCAACCCCAATATTTTATTTATTTTTAAATTTTTCTTTTTTAGATGTTGATGAATGTTTATTTTATCCATTTATATGCAGTGCTGAGAATCAAACCCAGTGGCAAGTGCTCTCCCACTGAGCCACAAACCCAATGCCTCTGATGTTTTATTTAATTTTAAGGTTTTAAAAGGCAGTGCTTATCTATTATCTATTTTCTTTTTATATAATATTATCTATTGTCTATTTATATATGCATGTGCATCCACACACATACAAATATGCTTCCAAAATTCTGAGGAAAAAGTACTTATATATTCCAATAGAATTGCCAAATTTCCAAACATTAGGCATGAAGGCAGAATAAAGATACAGTCAGACAGTCCAGAGTTTCAAGTTGGCGTTGGGCACACCCTTCCTCAGAAAGCTACTGGAAGTTGTGCTCCATTCAAATGAGGAGGTAAATCAAAAAAGGGAGATATGGAATTCAGGAAATGTGATCCAACCTAGGAGAAAGAGAAAGGGGCCTCTGAATGGTGAGGACACCCTCTGGAAGACCACTGGACAAAGCTGTCACCCACCTGACCCACAAGGGCATCCCCACTCAAACCAGAGCAGGAGCCCCAGGGGAAGGGATAAGGGAGGGAAATCCTGTGGAGTAGGTTTTGCATTTTGTTGGGGAGCGTGGGAAGAACTTGTGACTGTCGAGTGTTAGCTCCTGGAGCAGGTAACATTTCTACAGGCAGGGAAACGGAGTCCTGGCATTCTACACGGCTCAGTTGTGGGCAACATGCACAGAAACCCTAATAACGTCAGTTATCGAATACTGATTTAGGCAAAAGGTTGTATTTGTACCTATACTGAGAGGTTGGCAGAGGGTGGTTGAATAGGGAAAGAAGGCAGGGACCAGGGCTGTAACTCAGTGGTAAAGCCTGCCTGAGGGACTAGGTTCCCGCCCCAGCACCAAAATACTTGGCAAAGTTTCCATGATGAGCACTACTGTCCCTGGCAGCCTTTTGTGTATCACGCGGGTGGGGAACAAGGGCGCCTCCATAGTCTTACATGCAGAGAAAACACTGGACAGAAACGCCTGGAACCACCCGGATCTCCAGCCTCTTCGGGGCTTGCTACCCTGTAAAGGCCCCAGGGACCAGAGAACACCAAGGCTCGGGCCGCCAGTCTAGGGCAGGAGTCAAAACCCAGCCCAGGCTTTGAAGTGAAGGGGCCTTTCGTGCACACCTCTGACCTCACTCATCACTCCCCAGCAATTTACTCCGGATCTGTGCTCCGTTTATAGGAGGACAGACGTGCAGATGCTGAGCTCACAAGACGGTGGTGTCCCGCCCTGCACGGATCCTAGCACTCCATTCTAGTGACCACAGTTCCACTTGGACTTGAAGGTGAGCCACTGGCCCGGGGCTGTGCAGCCAGGGGCGGTACAGGAGCCAGCGCGGGCCTCCAGGGACCCTCCAAGGAGGGAAGGCGGGTCGTCCCTACCCCCCACCTCCCCTGTCTCCATCCATTGCCTAATGGGGACCCCGAGGCAGAGGCTGGGGGAGGGGTTGGCGCAGCAGAGTCGTGGAAAAAACTTCGCGTTTTGTCGATCACAGCAGAAAGAGGCTCGGCTGTCCCCGCCCTTCCCGGCGTTCAATCTAATTACAGCTCCTCACAGCCCGATCGATCGATGGCGCTCCCGTTGGAGCTGTTTACCGGGAGCAGCTTTTGTCATTCGTCCCATCCCCCACAGCCCCTGCGGAGCCCCGTCCCCGGCGCAGCCCCTGGGCAGCCCAGACCCGGCCCCACGCCAGCCCTTTTTACTGAGTGGAAAAGAGGCTGCGAGGGGACCGGGGTCCCGAGGGCTGGGGAGAAGGGAGCCGGGAAGAGAGGCCCCGGACTCAACCACGTCCTCCCAAGGCCACTGTGGCTCCCACCTCCCTAGTCCCCTCCACCCAGTGTCAGGGCACCTGCCCTCCTCCAAGGCCTCCTCCTCCTCCAATATCCTCTCCTGTGCCATCACCTCCTTCTCCATCTCCTCCCCCTCCACCTCCACCTCCATCTCCTTCTCCTCCACCTTCCCTTCCTCCTCCTCACCCTTCACCTCCTCCCCCTCCACTTCCATCTCCTCCTCCACCCCCACCTCCACCACTCCACCTCCTTCTCCTCCACCTCTTCCACCTCCATATTCTCCTCCTTCACCTCCATCTCCTCCTCCTCCATCTCCATTTTCTCCACCACCTCTACCTCCATCTCCTCCTCCTCCACCTCCATCTCCCCCACCTCTTCCATCTCCTCCTCAACCTCCATCTCCTCCTCCAACTCCTCTTCCTCCAACATCATCTCCTTCTCCATCACCCTCTTCTCCATCTTCTCCTCCATCTCCTCTTCCTCCACCTCTCCCTCCATCTCCTTTTCCTTCACCTTCCCCTCCTCCTCCTCCTCCTCCCCATTCAGCTCCTCCTTCACCTTCTTGTCCTCCTCATCCACCCCTCTCTTCATCTCCACCTCTACCTCCATCTCCTCCACCTCCATCTCATCCTCCTACTCCTCACCTCCTCCTCCACTTCCATCTCCTCCAACTGCTCCTCCCCCACCTCCATCTCCTCCTCCAACATCATTTTCTTCTCCATCACCTCCTTCTCCATCTTCTTTATCTCCATCTCCTTTTCCTCCACCATCCCCTCCTCCTCCCCTTCATCTCCTCCTTCACCCTCTTCTCCTCCTCCA